CGCGGCCTTGGTGTTATCAGCACCGCACTCTACCGAGTGAGCCACGGGCCGGCCCTGTTATAGTATTTTTTAAATTGTATTATTTATTATTATTCTTTTTTCTTTTTTTTCCCCTGAATATTTTCAATCTGTGGTTGGTTGAATCTGCAGATGCAGGACCTGCAGGTGCGGAGGGCTGGTATAGGGAACTGAACTCTTGACCTCGGTGTCACAAGCCTGCGCTCTAACTGAGCTAACCAGCCAGCCTAATTCTTCATATTTATGAAAATTGCTCAGGGTTTTTGGTTTTAATCTCTTGCTAAAAAAATTTGGGAAATTTGCCTCTACTATCCATAGTTACCCCAGAAACTACAGCCATGAGAATCCAAGAAAAAAATAAACCTGAAGGTTAGCCAAATTGCCATTCTTTTCCACTGCAGGCAGTGGTGTGCTGGTAAATGGGTAACACCTGGCTCTGGGTGGAAGAGCCCTGATTTGTAGCATTTGTTAATTCCTGTGGTGTAAATACTCCCACAGTAGCCAACTTCAGGCTACCAATGTGAAATTGGCTCATGAAATTCCTGAATATTTTTTTTTTTCTGGTGGCTGGATGGTACAGGGATCTGCACCTGTGACCTTGGTGTTATAACACTGCACTCTAACCAACTGGAAACAGCTGAAGATTTAACAGTTGGCTCTCAGGACCTAATATGAGCCAGCTTGAGTGTTCGCTTACTGCACAAGGGCGATAATAAACTCAGGTGGTGATTTTACCAGCTTTTGTTTTTCCCCCAAATGGAAAAGTTTGATTCAATTAATAAATTATGTGCGGGTAAGATTTTTAAAACAACATACAGTTTTTGTGATCTAATAGGGAAAAAAAATGGGCAAAAGGCTTGAACAGACACTTCCAAACAGGAAGGAAGGAAGGAAGGAAACCTAAATGGCTGATAAACATATGAAAAGATACTGAAGGTTCTCAACCTCACTTAATAGGGACATGAAAATTAAAACTTTTATGAGAGACCATTATCCACCCGCCAGGATGGGAAAATCTGCAAAGCCTGACAGTAGCAAGTGAGGTGGGGGGACCCCCTGGCAGTCTCCAGAACTCACAAGACACTGCTTTGGGGGTGTGCATTTTCCAGCCACTATGGAAAGCATATGTATGAGCTGGCAAATCCATTCATGCACGTGAGCACTGGCATATGTTCCAGAATGTTCTCAGCATTTTTATTATTTTTTTGTGGCTGGCTGGTGTAGGGATTTGAACCATTGACTTTGGTGTTACAACACTGTGATCTAACTAGCCGAGCTAACTGGCCAGCTCAGCAGCATTATTCTTAATATCTTCTAGCTGGAAGGAAGCCAACTCAAATGTCCATCAGCAAGAGGATGAACAAACCAACTACAGTGTTTTGATACACCAGAGTATTTAGCAATGGAAGTAAACAAGGCGGCATTACAAGGATGAACTGTACAACACGAATGTGGAATGAGCCACACACACACACACACACACACACACACACACACACACACACAAAAAAAAACACATATAGTGTGATGCTTTTCTTAAAAATTTTAAATCAGGCCAAAATAAATTATATGGCTTAAGGATGGAAGCCCAGATGATAACAGTCCAAAGAAAAACACAGAAATGTTTGTCTCAAAAGTCAAGACACCCCATGCCCACTCAGATCTTGGAGTCTAATATTCTCATATAGAAGAAATCAGGGCTCCTTGGAGAAGCAGCTGATTCTAGGCTGGGCAGGGAACATATAAGACGAGCCTGGAGCACCTTGGAGAACCAGAAAGGAAGATAGTGCTCAAAAATCAAACCAATGGGGATTTGTCAAAGGGACACAGGAGCCAACTGCGAGAGCTTCCAATAGCCAGAGCCGGAACAGTTTGAGCAACCAAATAAATAATGTAGAACCGGATCATCATTTAAGTGTAAAATTAATATATCCATGAGTTCATACTGATATAAATAAATGACTAAATAAATCATTAGGGAGACTAGACAAATACCCTGTACAGAAGAATTCCAAAGAGTTTATGTAGATACTGTCCCCCCACAGAGTGGATCGTAACTCCCCACCCCTTAGGTACGGGCTGCACACAGTAACTTCCTTCCAAAGAGTACAGTAGAGAAAGGGGGATAGAGTCACTTTGCAGTGGAGTAACCTGACACTCTACCGTGACCAGGTGATCAAGGTCAATATCAGAAGTGATCAGTCGTCGATGGTTTATGCCCTTGATAGGATATAACGAGAAGGGCACCTCACCTCTGAGGTCTACATCACCCCAGTCTGACCATGAGAAAAACATCAAATTTCAATGCATGGACATTCTACAAAACACCTGCCCAGTCTTCTTCAAAACTGTCAAGGTCATCAAAAACAAGGAAAGTCTGAGAAAGTGTCACAGTCAAGAGGAGCCTAAGGAGACGTGATGACTAAATGTCATGTGAGATCCTGGATGAGATTTGGGGACAGAAGAAGAACCTTAGGGGGAAGCTACAGAAATAGGAAAAAAGACTATGACAAGGACTCTAATTAATAACAATGTGTCAACATTGGTTCCTTAGCTGTAACAAAAATATCAAACTAATGTAAGATGTTACTAATGGGGAAACTAGGTCCGGGCATAGGGGAACTCTCTGTATTATTTTTGCAACTTTTCTATAAAACTAATGTAAAATAAAAATTTAAAGCTTATTTTAAAAGGCAAGGCAATGGACACCTCTACTTAGGGTGACCAACTCGTCCCAGTTTGCCTGGGACTTTTAGCACTGAAAACCTCACGTTCCAGGAACCCCTTGGTCCCTGCAAACCGAGGTGGTTGGTCACCTCGGGTGATGAAGGACGAGGCTGTGCTCTGGGATGTTGGTGGGTTCCATTTGGATTGTGGTTACATGGGTGTTTGCCTCACGATTCTTAGTGAAGCTGTGTATCTATTTTGTGTGCAATCATCTATTTGCCCATTGTGACCTAAAAGAAGAAAATAATAAAAATGTCAAACAAGACGAAAGCATCAGAAGTAGGAAGGGAAGGTGTCAAAACCCTCTCACCCAGGGAGAGCTGCTGAGAAGAATGTGATATGTGTCTTGCCAGACAGTTTGTTATATGTATATACAAGGGTACTTCAAAATGTTCGTGGAAAAACTAAATTAAAAGATAACACGTGCAGGGCTGGTCGGTTAGCTCAGTTGGTTAGAGCGTGCTGTTATAACACCAAGGTCAAGGGTTCAGATCCCTGTACCTGCCAGCAGCCAAAAAAAAAAAGGATAATACGAATTCTTCCATGAACTTTTTTGAAGACCCCACGTATATACAGTCACATATCTAACCTAGGGATGCATTCTGAGAAATGTGTCCTTAGGCGATTTCATTGTTGTGCAAAAGTATATCATGAAAGAGAGTAGCGATGATTTTCCTCTTGTCAACACCAGCTACTAGCTGCATGAGTGCGGGCCCTCTCATTATGCCATGAAGTCTCTCTGTGCCTCAACTTCCTCATCTGCTAAATGGGGATTAGAATAACAGCACCCTCACAAAGCACATGGACCATGGCAGTTCTCAAGGTACTGACACCCTGACTGTGACCTCCAGGGGTGTAAGGGAGAGGCAGGGACACCTTCGGGCAGCACTTTCCATCTCTCTTAGCCATCCCCTTCTTCTCCCTCTGATAACAGAAGTCACCACTGCAGTCCTTCCCTGAAGCCCTGTGCCATCTTGTCCCACAATAACCCCACAAAGTGGCATAGAGTTAGTTTCCCATGACTGCCCTAACAAACGACTGCCAGTTCGGTGGCTTAAAACAACAGAAGCTTATTCCCTGCCAGTTCTGGAGGCCAGAAGTCCAAAATCAGATCCAGGGCCAAAACCCAGCTGTTGGCAGGGCTGTGCTCCCTCCAGGACCTCTAGAGGAGACTTTGCTTTCTTGCAGCTTCCAGCTTCTGGTGGCTGCTGGCATTCCTTGACTTGTGGCCACATCCCTCCAATGTCAAGGCCAACATCCGCAAATCTCTCTCTGCTGCATCTCTGCATGACCCTCTCCTCTTCTGTCTACATCAGATATCCCCCTTGTAAGGATACACATGACTAGGAGCTGGCCTATTAGCCCAGTTGGTTAGAGCACAGTGTTACAAATACCAAGGTCTAAGGGTTTGGATCCCGTACCAGCCAGCAATGGAAAAAAAAGAAAGAAAATACCAGTAAGGATATACGTCATTGTATTTAGCAATCGGGATGATCTTCCCATTACAAAATCCTTAATTCGATCACATTTGCAAAGACTCTTTTTTTTGGGGGGGGGGCAGGGGGGCATATATAAAGTAACATTCACAGGTTCCAGAAATCAGGACATGGATATCTGTGGAGGGCCATTTTCAGCCTACCACATATATTATCTACATTATACATCTAATATGGTGATTTTCAACCAGCAGTGATTCTGCCCCCGAGAGGACATTTGGCAATGCCTGGAGACATTTTGGGTTGTTAAGATTGGGGGGTGCTACTGGCATCTAGTGGGTAGAGGCCAGAGATGCTACTCAACATCCTACAGAGCACAGAACAGCCTCCCCCAGTAAAGAATTACCCAAACCTGCATTGGTTTGCTAGGGCCGCCATAACAAAGTACCACAAACCAGGTGGCTTGAAACCACAACAGGTTATTGTCTCAGAGTCTGGAGGCCAGAAGTTCAAAATCAAGGTGTCAGCAGGGCCGCACACTCTCCAAAGGCTCTAAGGAAGGATTCTTCCTTGTCTCTTCTGGCTTCTGGTGGTGGCCAGTGTTCCTTGGCTTGTGGCTGCATTGCTCCAGTCTCTGCCTCTGTCTTCACACGACTGTCATCCCTTACATGACACCTATCATATTGGATTAGGGCCCACCTTAATGATCTCATCTTTTTTTTTTTTTTTTAAAACATGACCGGTAAGGGGATCTTAACCCTTGACTTGGTGTTGTCAGCACCACGCTCAGCCAGTGAGCCAACCGGCCATCCCTATATAGGATCCAAACCCGTGGCCTTGGTGTTATCAGCACCGCACTCTACCGAGTGAGCCACGGGCCCGCCTTAATGATCTCATCTTAACTCGATTGCACCTGCAAAGACCCTGTGTCCTAATAAGGTCACACCCACAGGTATCAAGGGGCTAGGACTTCAACCAATCTTTTTACTTATTTTATTTTTTTACTGTAATTAATTAATTATTTTTTACTCGCTCTTCTTATAAAGCCACAGCCTATCTTTCTGAGGGGACACAAGTCAACCCATCAGAGGCCCCAAGTGTCAGCTGGCTGAGTCTGTGAAAGATCTAAAAAAGGAAGGCATCTTGTCAGGGGGTGGGTTTGTGGCAGGTGTGAAGAAGGAAACCCAACACCCACTCGCTGGGCCTTCGGTCCCTGCACGAGCAGCTCACAAATCTGCCTCACCGTCCCCTTCTATGCAAGTGACCCTCAGTCACACCAGGACATGGTGAAGAGGAAAAGCTGTCACCAGCATCCCTGGGTTCATATCAGTGCCCCCCAACAAAGTCCCCCACCAGGCAGAGCCTCAAGGGCCATCAGCTCTGATGGTATCTCCCAAAAGTACCAAGCACATAGTAGCTGCTCAGTAAATATCTGGTCAGTAAAGAAAGGCCTCTGCTGAGGGACTTTGTACACAGTGAATGGTAAATGGCTACTTCATTTTTTTTTTTTTTAAGATGACCGGTAAGGGGATCTTAACCCTCGGCTTGGTGTTGTCAGCACCACGCTCAGCCAGTGAGCAAACCGGCCATCCCTATATGGGATCCGAACCCGGGGCCTTGGTGTTATCAGCACCACACTCTCCCAAGTGAGCCATGGGCCAGCCCTAAATGGCTATTTCAAATTGCCCGAAGCCAGCCACAGGACGAACCGCTTCTCAGAATAGCTCAGCCCGGGCCGGCCCGGTGGCTCACTTGGTAGAGTGTGGTGCTGATAACACCAAGGCCCCGGGTTCGGATCC